GTACTCCCTAGGATATATTGATTATTGGATTGCAGAATTGATTATTGAGATGTTATTATTGATAAATGAGGATTGATGATAGATTGAGTATTGATATTGTGGTTAAGTATTAATGAATGTTTTGAAAAGGAGTAGCGCTTCAAAGTGTTTTGAAATAAATTTTGAAAAAAATTTATTCTGATTTTCGGCAAATAAAAGTGGGGCGTTACAAGGTGGCCACGGACGAGAAAGGATGGACCGACAAAACCCAAAAGCAATCCGTATTGCCGATTTCACAAGGATTACGGGCACAAAACTGATGATTGTAGGCATATCAAGGATGAGATTGAAAGATTAATCAAAGCCGACCATCTGAAAGAGTTTATTTATAAGGATCGAGAAAGAACCAGTCGACAACGGGAAAGAAGCAAAAGCCCTCGCAAGAGGGCAAGGACACCCGACAAAGAAGAACTTCCTCAGAAGAGGGGAGTGATTCATATGATATTCGGAGGACCGACTGACGGAGATTCAAATCGGGCTAGAAAAGAATATGCACGAGCGCGCTATGAAAAAGCCGAGGTGCAGCATGTCGAGGAGAGTGGCCCGGTGATGCATTTTGGGCCGGCTGATGTAGGTGAAATCGAGAGGCCGCATAACGATGATCTAATGATAATGGCCCAGGTGTCAGGATACGAGGTGCAAAGAGTGTTCGTCGACATCGGGAGCTCGGTGAATGTAATTTTCTATAACTGCCTCAAGAGGATGGAGCTGTCTTGAATTGACACCACTGCATACGTCACTTTTTGGATTCAATGGCTCAGAGGTCGTGCCCTTGGGAGAAACCACACTCGCAGTCGTCCTCGGAGAAAGAAAGTTGCGGAAAGTTAAAATGGTGAGATTTGTGGTGGTCGATGTCGAATCCGCCTACAATGTGATCCTCGGGAGGCCTGCGTTGAATGCGTTCCAGGCAGTAGTATCAACTTGTCACATGAAAACGGATGCTCCCAGTGGGAGATCGAGTCGGAGAGGCTCGGGGGGACCAATGATTATCGAGAACGTGCTGCCAAATAGCAGTGAAAACTAACCAACGAACATAAGTAAAGGAGGGTAAAAAGCCGATATCAAGTGAAAAAAGGCCAAGGGGAAGTGACCTCGAGCCACATGGGGAGCTGATGGAAATTCAAATCGGGGAGAAAGAGGATCAAATCACCAAAATTGGAAAGGAATTAGAGGATGAATTGCGTAAACAACTGGTGGAGTTACTCAGGGAGTTTAGAGATATATTTGCTTTCTCCCCTGAGGAATTGACAGGAATCGATCCAGATATCATGGAGCACAAGCTCAATGTCGACCCCCTCAAGAAGCCCGTAAAACAGCGACTCAGGCATCATGGCGCCGAGATTGACAAAGAGATTAAAGTCGAAGTCGACAAACTGCTGAAAGCCAAACATATTAAAAAAATCAAATTCCCTGAATGGGTATCAAACACTGTGATGGTGAGGAAAGCACTGAACAAGTGGCGAATGTGTATCAACTTCCGTGACCTAAATCTTGCTTGCCCAAAGGATCATTATCCGCTGCCAAGAATTGATCAGCTAGTTGACTCTACGGCTGGCTGTGAATTGCTAAGTATGATGGATGCATCCTAAGGGTACCACCAAATCCCATTATCCCCAGAAGATCAGAGCAAAGTGAGCTTCGTGACGAGCAAGGGAACATACTGTTATGTCGTCATGCCTTTTGGACTCAAAAACGCTGGGGTGACCTATCAAAGGCTGATGGATCGGATGTTCAAGTCCCAAATAGGGTGCAATATGGAGGTATACATAGACGACATCTTGGTGAATAGAAAGTCCTCGGCTTCGCATGTCGAGGATCTAAAAGAAACATTCGAAACATTGAGGACATTCTGGATGAAGCTGAACCTGATTAAATGCGCCTTCGGAGTGAAGGTAGGACGATTCCTTGGTTATGTCGTAACTGAGAGGGGAATTGAAGTTAACAAGGATAAGGTGAAAGCCATACTCGACATGGCCCCACCTAAGAGCATCAGAGACGTGCAGGTCCTGACGGGTCGAATCACCGGCCTGAGCAGATTTATCGCTCGAGCAGCGGAGAGAAGTTTCCCGTTCTTCAAGTTACTCAAAAAGAAAGCTTTCCAATGGAACGATGAGGCGCAAATGGCATTTGAGAAACTAAAAGAATTTCTAAGTGAGTTGCCACTATTAACCAAGCCAGAGCCAGGCGATGAACTGGTGCTTTACGTCTCAGTAGGAACATTTTCCTTGAGCTCAGCATTGCTGCGAGAAGCTGGAGGTGCCCAACAGCCGATCTATTACACAAGCTGAGTACTTCAGGGTGCAGAGACGAGATACTCTGAAGTCGAGAAAGCTGCTTTGACAGTGGTAATAACAGCTATAAAGCTAAGGCCCTACTTCCTGAATCATGTGATAGTGGTAAGGACAAACTTTCAGTTAAAAAAAACCTTGTCAAGTGGGCAGTCGAACTGAGTGAGTACTCTATCAGATACGAACCAAGATGAGCCATAAAGGCCCAAACTCTAGCAGATTTCATCCAGGAAGGAATTAAGGGTGATGAAAAGAAATGGATAATGCATGTCGATGGATCCTCAACAGCCAAAGGGTCGGGGCTAGGGGTTATCCTAATATCCCCTGAAGGCGAACAACTTGACTTCGCCATTAGAATGGGCTTCAAGGCCTCGAATAATAATGCAGAGTATGAGGCGCTGATCAAAGGGATCCAACTCGCGATGGGCGGCGGAGCGACATAGATTGCAGCTCACTCTGACTCACAACTTGTCGTGAGTCAGGTAATAGGGAATTGCGAGATAAAGGAGGACAGGATGATGAAGTATGTTGAGGAAATCCAAAGCCTCATACAAGGCTTGGGGAAATTCGAGCTGACTCAAATCTCTCGGAAAGATAACAAGCGAGCCAACTGGCTCGCAAGAATCGCAAGTTTTAATGAGGGAAAAATGGGAAGTCATATAACCACGATGCACCTGGAAGGAAGTGTCCTCAGTCAAACAATGGAAGTGGAAGAAAAAAAAGATTGGAAGATGTCGATCCGGGAGCTTTTGCAAAAGCAAGTACTGACGGGAGATAAGCAGAAAGCCGAAAAAGCCGCTTGATATTTGAGCAAATATTTTGAAGTTGAAGGGGTACTATACAAGAGGTCGTATGTCGAGCCCCATTTGAGATGCGTTTTTGAAGATGAAGGGAACCATGTCTTGCATGAAGTTCACGAAAGATGTTGCGGGGCTCATGTCGGGTCCCGAGTTTTGGCAGGAAAAGTTTTGCGGGCTGGCTATTATTGGCCAAACATCAGGAGAATGGCCGAACAGTTAGTGCAAGGGTGTGAAAGATGCCAGCGCCACGGCCCGATTCCTCACATCTCGACTGAGACCATGATGACGATCAATTGTCCGATACCCTTCGCCTAATGGGGAATCGATTTGGTAGGACCATTACCGATGGGGAAGGGACAAAGAAAATTCCTGGTAGTCGCAGTTAACTACTTTAGCAAATGGGTCAAAGCGGAGCCGCTGGCAAAAATTACCGAGGAAAGAATAATCTAGTTCCTATTTAACAACATCTGCTATCGATTCGGAGTCTCGAAGATATTAATTTCAGACAATGGAACTCAAATTCAGGGCAAGCGA